TTGTTTTCTTAAGCATTTCTCAACCCTGCCAAACACCCTATCTGCTGGCAAAAAACTGTAGCCACTCACCGGAAAAGCTATTCTAATTCTGGAAGTCCCTTGACTTTAAGCCAATAATATAACACATGGATTATGTGTGAGTTCTTATGTTGTCCTCCGCATCCACGCTTGATTGATCCTCGCTCCACGGATAAAAATGGGGACGTTTTGATCCCATATCAGGACATCAGAAAACATAAAAAACTTACTTGGTGTGCATAAAATTCGTCAGATATGGGTGTCTTAGGCAATGTCTGTACCTGCTGCAAGTCAAAACAAAAACTTTGAAAATTCTGGGCGATATTTTCATAAATCGTAGAATGCTTTAGATTTTTTGTTGTAAATGCGCTTTTGTGCAATTAATTCTCTTCTCTTTCCTGTATATTTTTCTATTTTAACTTGGTTCGGGATTAAAAGCTTAAATTAAAATCCTTTCTGAAGATTCTCGAAAACATTGACAGTGAAACACTCTTTTGTCTCGAACTTTGTGTTAAATAGCTTACGTAACTTTGTAATATTTAAATCACTGCCTAAATAAAATTTTTGAGATTTTGATCTATTGTAATGGCTTCCACCTTCCTTTCAAATTGCCGATAAACTCCCTAACGCAATTCTTAGTTATTGTTTTTTTGGACTTTTGATCTCTTCCTCTCTTGTCTTTTGGTACTTCCCCTGCATAAATGGTATTTGCAACTCTGGTTACGCGTCGTGCTGATAGACGCATAGCTGAGGTAAAGAATTTTTGACAAACTCTTAATGGATGTTTAGAATTCCATTTTTTAAGTAGTATTTTACTGCTTACTTACTAGATTTTAAAGGTATGGATTTTCTTCGTCTATTTACTTCAGAGACACTCATCATATGACACAATTTTACATCTTGCTCATTTCTATTAGTTGAACTGTAAATTTTTTCTTTATTTCTTTTAATATCAACCAGTGTAATATGATTACACTCAACCAGTGTAATATGATTACACTAATAACTACGGCCGTCATGATTACATGATCTTTTGACATTTGTCAAAACTACATCTGAATCACCATATCTAAAAATAAAAAGAGATAACTCTAAACTGAGCATCTCATGTAATAAAAAAAACCTTTTTGTTTAGGCGTTTACTTTTCGCATGTTCATTGTCGCTCCTTATCCTAACACTTTTTCTATAACAGTCACATTTAACTCCTCAGGATCGCTCCTTTTACATACAAAATACAGCACAAACCAAAACAACGTGTCGTATTAAATTATTTTTAGTGTAGAATTATAGAGACAGAAAAAGAATATCGCCACAAGTTATTAGGGGGTACCTACTTGCCCCATCCAGTACATAAATGCCAGCAATCTATATTACTTTCTTTAAATACAGGTACATACGATGAACTTTGATTGACGCTAGGAACACAAATGGATTTATTGCGTTTTGATCGATTTGTAACTTTTCGATAGCTATTTGCTATTGGAAATATAGCGTTTGAAAGGAATTGTTGACTTAAACCACGGTTACTAGACTTACAACGATTGCCTACTCCGACTAACTAATGAACATTAAGCCCGAAATTACGTCACGAGAGTACAGTAATTTAAATCGTTACATTGTTAATCGGCGTTTTTATGGCTTTGATGTATGAAAAATAGTAAATGTAGTTATAAAATAAATGTTCGATCAGTTCTCCATAGACATATATCTTTGCGTTGGGGTAATAATTTCTACTTATTATTTTGTTTTTGTCTTCTTAATATTTATTTTCAAACCCCGTGCTTCACTTGCAAGAGTTAGATCATTTAAAAGGCATTGAAGATCTTCGATGTTATGTGCCACTATGGCTGTATTATCGGCATATTAACCTGATGTTATTAATAAATATGCCGTTAACTTTAATACCCTTACTAGAGTCTGCCACTGCTACTGCGAAGGCTTTTTCTACGTATAAATTAAACAGAATTGGAGACAGTATACAACCTTGCCTTACTCCTTTTTTAATGGAGAAATCTTCTGTTTCGTTAAAATTTTGAAGACATACTGTTGCTGTCTGGTTAGAATACAGATTGGCGATAATTTTTATTATTTTTCCTTGATTGATCATTAGTCTTCATCCCTCATCTTGTTTGCTTTTGGCACTAGTAACCTGGCTATTGAAGCATTTATTAAAATACTTGATTCGCTTGAATATCCTATATCTGCAGTATGTTTTTACGAGAAAAAGGGGTGTATTTGAAAAATGACTGGAAACATACTCTACAGTTCGATGTATCATTTTCTTACCCCGATTTAGGTTTTCACCATGAAAATTTTGGAAATATTTTTTCATCGTCATTACTTGGTTTACCCATTCCGATGATGCACTTATGAGTCCACCAAATGATAAATGTTGTATCCAGGATGATACAGAATAATTGTGAACATTTATATTTTGTTCCTCATAGGTAGGTCTTCCTAAATTTGGGAATTGATTTTTATATTTAAATGCTATGAAACCAGCAATATATATCAACCCATCTGATTGATATTTGGTTTCTTTTGTTATATTGGCTTTTTGTGGCACGTCTGATTTACTACTAATTTTGAACAATATTTTTACACAAAATGTGCTGCAAATTGTGCTATACAATATTGTGCTGCGATTTTTTATCTCTGGCTTGCAAATGATGTTTTAAGGCTGTTGCAGTTGTGTGAGATAGTAATTCTGCAGCAAGTGCAACGTTTTGTCTCCGCATTTCTTTTACCTCTAAATGATCTGAAGTCAGTTTATATATGGAACTTAGTTCTGTTGTTGCAGTTTGAATTAGTTCTTTTAACAAATCTTTTTTCAATACACTTCCATCTTCAAGTTCAAATCCTGTGTCGATCAACCAGTTTCTTCTTAATTTTTTCATAAGTCCTTGATTGCCTTCCCCGCAATCAGACACGCATGCAACTACATTATATTTTACATTGTGCAACTCAGTAATTATGGTAGACAAAATATTGTCGATCATACTTGTATCAAAGCCAATGTAGATTGGTTGCTTCCATTTATCACTACTTGCATGTACCTATGAGGACCAACCACTCATCCTCTTTTTGGTCATTCATACTGGGCACAGACTTCCATTTCATAATATGACAAGACGGTTACTATTTGTAGTTGTTTTTGATTTTCCAGCAATATACATCACCTGAAGTACATCTTGTAGGAGACCAAATCTAATATTAATGTGTGCAGCCCATTTTTGTTACAATTAATATTCCAGGTAATGGGTATTTATAGTTATTTCTTAGATATAGGTTACATCTTTTACTAAAATATCTTATTGTGAAAGCTTTTGCAATTTTTTCTGTTGTCCAACATGCTCTTTTTTTTTTCACAATAATTTCAATTTCGTTTTTACTAAACATGTGTCCAACGTGTTTCAGAATCTTTTGCTCACTATCAATGTCTTTTTCTTTAATTATTTTATTTAATTCTACAATCCTCGTTCTCAAGCAAGTCCTCGTATTTTCGTTTTAAAAAATCTACTTCCGATTCTTTACTTGTAGCGGACACCTAAGACAAATCAATGGTTACAAGATTAGTTTTTTCCCTTGTATGTGAATGCACCTCTAATAAGTCTTCAATGATAGCTGTTTGTGTTTTCATTGCTACTCTTTTATCTCTTCTTGCTGTAGGTTCACATTCTGTTTGTTTTTCAACATCTTGAGATTTTAAGTTTTTAATTAGAATTACTACAAAATAGTGATGATAATAAATAGAATTTTATTAAGTCAACAACAATTACCTTCATCCTTTAATTTCAACTTAGGTCTAATTTCCATTATTCGAGCATACAATTCATCCACAAAATCATCCCAATTGAAATGATTACTACATACTCTAGCAGTTTTTATATTTATTTTAACTTTTCTGCAACAGCGCTTAATCCATATTTTTTCTAATTTTGTATTTTTTGGAAACGTAAAAAATTATTTGTTGATCAGAATCAGCCGATTTCTTGTTTTTATAAAAATTATTTTTACAAGTGTCCACACTACAACCTGTGCCTGGCATTCTAAAATTTCTTAAATATTATTCTAACGTTAACACACAATAAAGTTTTAAAGTTTTAACCTGCCTTATAAAAAAATATTCTTATTTCAGGTAGGTACTCTACAAGATACGGTATACAACTACAATAAATAACTTTTCTTTGGTAATTCAAAATAAGTGTTTACAGGAAATAACCCCAAAATTTCAAATACAAAAATATAAAGTAAACTAAGATATTTAAGAAACGATAAATAATAAAGCAAATAATAAACTCAAAGATCATTTTCCCGAACAAACTGATAATAAATGGGTTTGTAATTGTATTCGTGTGATCGTGTGTACTCTGGTGACGGAAATCAAGCATATAACTCTCCCCACCCCATATTTTAGTAGTCTGTGACCGTAGTAAGTTTACGAACCGTGGACTTATAACCATAACCTTATACCTAATAATTAAATTACCAAATTTAGAATAAAAACATCTATGATTACACAAAAAATCATTTGGAAACAAATCTGTTAAGAGACATTCAAGATATTCGGAATATATTCCCATTTCCCAGACGTTAGAAGTTCTATTCTCGAAAAACTGTACAAACGTGTTTAAGACATGCGTATCATGATTGATGATCTTTTAGTACAAAATACTGTTCAAATATGAGTAATAGTAGGATTAATATTATAAAGTATAAACTAAGACCTCTTTTTAAATACAAATATTTCACAGATATACATATTGCCACCTATTTTTATTATTTTCTTCAAAAGAAGCACCACTGTATCACTCGATAAACTGAATTTACTAAAGTCTAAATCTAAAGTAAAAATAAGATAAAATATGGTGGAACTTCGAAGGTTTTCGTTAAACTTCGGGAGATATTTATTATCGTTTTGTACGCAAGGTCAATATTTTTCAAGATGGCGGGAATTAATAATTTCTTATGAGGCACATACCTGAACTCCAGTTGTAATAAATATCACTTCTTGTAAATCTACTTTATTCGAATTATTTTTAAAAACACAATTCAGTTCTTTTTCCGATAAGCACAACCGACACACAATATTATTGTACGCCATTTTTAATAAACATCGATATGCCCCGGTACGAGAAGTGAAGCGGATTCGTAGCGGCGCTCGGGGACAACCGTCGCCATTCGATATAAACGGCATGAACGTACGAAAGCTGTCACGATGTAGGCTTCCTCCCCTCAAAACTGAAATTCGACTAATCCAATAATCCAGGACAGGAAGAGAAAGGAACATGTGCGTGTGCCCTTTTTAGTAGGACGCAACATGTTGTAATGTTGTGTTGGATAAAACATAATGTGAATTAAGTGTTACAGTTTCTAAAAAATAAGAACTATCAAACGTAGGTACCCATACTGTATGGTGCAAATGAATATACAGTATGAATAAATAAGTTCAAAAAGCGTTGACTGCAGAGTAAATTCCTAAAACTCGCCGATTTGTATTTATAAATTGGCTGTGATACGACGAAAATTATTATTTAGTTTTTTATATTATAGAAATATCAGAAAAAAGTAAATTAGTAGCATTACATAATATAAAATGTTATTTAATATGTGTTTGGTTAAAGCTTAATTGATATTTTAATTACTACAATTAAAACATTATTATTTATTAACTACAAACAAAAAAAGCACGTGGTCAAATTTGACAATCGGTTAAAATACAGGGTGTTTCAAAAAAGTATATCATAAATTAAATCACGAATTCCGGGGACAAAAATAAATGGATTGAATCTAAAGCCGGGTCCAGACTATGTAACACAACAGGTTAAATAACAAAGTTTTGTAACTTGTTAGAGAATTTTAAATAAAAAAGTTATAACACAGTGTTGTATATCATTTTTCTGGTTATATAGCAAGTTTTATGTTACCTAACAGTTGTCGGTAAACATCAAAGAAAGTTATAAAACATTGTTGTAAAACCCCATCGTGACTAATCTACACTTAAAAACATGTTATTGAAACATTTCTTTGGCATAGTACGCGAGCAGAAGCCGTCGGAGTCATATCGCCCTATTCATCTTGATTCTTGGGTGATTTTGCTAAATTTTTCTTTGCTCTGTTCACGTGGGGTTATTTTTATTTACGCGATGGAATGGTCAAAAGAACTGACAACTCATTTAATTGAGCTGTTTCGGAAACAACGAGTATTATGGGATCCTACATTCATGGATTTTATATACTGCCTAACCTACCAGACATCCAGCTAAAAGTGATGAGCATTTTGTTGTGTTGTTTTTAGATATATAATCTGGATGCTATGTTATAACAGGTTACAAAACAAAGTTGTAAAACAAATTTGTTGTACAACTTTGTTATTTAACATGTTTTGTTACATAGTTTGGACCCGGCTTAACTTACCTTAGTACAAAAGTGTACACAAAAAAAGTTACAGCCCTTTGAAGTTACAACATAAAAATTATTTTTTGCATTATCTCCTAAACTACTTGACATTTTGTAATAAAAATGGACACGTTACTTTCTTGTTCTGAAAGAATTTTTCATACAAAAGAAGCAACAAAATCTAAGCGCACACAGAAATTTTAAGGGGGGGTGTGCAGCCCTAAATCCCCCCAATCTTTTGAGTACGTTCAAATCAAATTTGTCAGAGAGTAAGAGTTATTACCAACTACAGAAGGCTTATGGACTGAAGTCAAGAATGCTTTTACTAGCGCCGAGAAATATATAAAAGACACTAATAACAAAAGAAATTCTAAACCCTGGATGACACAAAAAATTCTGGGAATGATGGATACTCGAAGAGCCTACAAAAATAAAAATAATGAAAAATATAGGGAAATACATTGTCAAATCAAGAAAGAAATAGCTACCGCAAAAGAAAATTGGATGATAGAAAACTGCCAAGAGATCGAAGAATTAATAAACACGACAGTCAAACACTTCACAAAAAAATAAAAGATCTAGCTGGAATGACAAAACAAAGACTCCCTTGTAGATTAACAAACGACGAGAATGAAACGATATGGGAATTAAGCGATCTAAACAACGTATGGGGACATTACATAGAAGAACTATTCTCGGACACACCACTAAACAACATAATATATAAAAACCATGAAACCAGTCCTCCTATATTAAAACAAGAAGTAGAGAGAGCAATCAAAAACGCAAAAAATGGGAAAGTTCCTGGCCCCGATGACATACATACCGAAGTCATAAAGCTACTGGAAGAGAAACATTTAAATATAATCGTCAAATTATTTAATCAAATATATACAAGCGGTGAAATTCCACAAGACTGGTTAAAATCAGTCTTTATTCCCCTTCCAAAAACTAAAGGACCAAAGAAGTGTGGTGATTTCCGACTTATTAGTTTAATGTCGCATATGTTAAAGTTATTCTTGAAAGTTATTCACCAACGCATTTATAAGAAATGTGAACAGGATATCAGTGATGAACAATTTGGCTTCCGAAATGGATTTGGGACACGGGAAGCATTAACCAGTTTTATTATACTGCTGCAAAAATGTCGAGACCAAAAAAAGGATCTCTTTTTATGTTTTATTGACTATCAAAAGGCCTTCGACAAAGTAAAACATGATAAGCTGATGGATTGCCTTCACAAAAAGGGACTAGACGAGAACGATTCTAAATTTATCCAAACGCTGTATTTTAACCAAACTGCAGCAGTTAGAACAGAAGCCGGTGACACAGAAAAATTCAATATCAAGCGAGGTGTACGACAGGGGTGTGTATTGTCACCACTACTTTTCAATATATATTCGAAAGAAATCTTTGCACGAGCACTAGAGCAATCAAGAGAAGGTGTTAAAATTAACGGCAGAGTTCTAAATAATGTACGATACGCCGACGACACGGTCCTAATTGCAGAGAGCGCACAGGATCTCCAGACACTCTTAGATCGCGTCAGATCGATCGGAGAACAATACGGCCTCAGCATTAACGTCAAGAAAACAAAAACAATGATTGTCTCCAAAACATCCATCCATCCATCCATGGCTTTAAACGTGAATGGTAACATTATCGAAAATGTCGAGAAATTTCGATATCTAGGGTGCTGGATAACGAAAGATATAGATCCAGACATAGAAATAAAATCGCGAATTGAACAAGCAAGAAATGTCTTTTTAAAAATGAAACAAATGTTTACGTCCCAAACACTCAATCTCAAAATCCGATACCGAATGCTGAAATGTTACGTTTACAGCACTTTACTATATGGAATGGAGGCCTGGACCTTCAAAATCAACTCACTCAGGCGTTTGGAAAGTTTTGAAATAAGGCTCAGGTTATTTCGAAGGATGCTGAAAGTCCCCTGGACAGCGGATATGAGCAACGAGCAGGTCCTACACAAGATGGGCACCGACAGAGAACTCTTAAAAATAATGAAAACACGGAAAACCTCATATTTGGGACACATATACAGAAATGAGAAATACCAGCTACTGCAGCTTCTTATAGAGGGAAGGTAGAAGGAAAACGTGGTCCTGGTAGACGGCAGGCGTCCTGGTTGAAGAACATTCGTGAGTGGACTGGTTTGGATTCTCAATCTTTAATAAGAAAAGCCAGGGACAGAAATGGTTTTGCTGAGGTTATCGCCAACCTTCATTGAAGACGGCACCCAAAGAAGAAGAAGAAATCAAATTAATTTTGTGGCATCATTAGTTTAGCAGATTTTTTTTAAACCTTTTTTGCCCGTTATCACTTTTTCGAAAAACTAGTTTTTTCCTAGTTGGCCATAAAATTACAATTAGTTTCTACGGATACAGTAATTAAAAACAGTTTGAAGCTATCATTTATTGTGTGAATAAGATTAATATTAAAAATTTTGATATTACAATGGCCTACACATTTCAGAAAATGGCAGATATGCATTTAACTTTTATGTAAGTTGGATCAGATTAAATTATGATTTCAATAAACTATCGGCAATATCGTGGGTCAATGTCAAGGAAATAGTGCAGCAGCCGAAAGGCGTTATGCAGTAAAATACCCCAATCAAAATACACTCGATAGACGATTATTTCTGACCATTGATCAGGCATGGTAAACGGGTACATTACAACCACAAGTTGTTGCAATAGTGGTCGTCCAGTAATGGATGACCTGACAGCTGATGAAGACATTTTAGAAATCATTGAAGTTCCTGGCACAAGTACAAGGATAATAGCTGCTCAACTAAATGTTCTTCACGTAAGGGTTTGGAGGCGTTTGAAGGATCAGCTGCTTAAATCCTATCACTTAACAACGGTTCCAGAGTTATTGGTTGAAGATTATCCTGAAAGGTTTGGATTTTGCGATTGGTTGTTAATGGAAAACACTCGAAATGTTAATTTTATTAGAAATATTTTGTTTACCGACGAGGCTACCTTCAGTGAAAATGGAATAACAAACCATCATAACGGCACATTTGGGCCGACAAAAATCTTCACGCCAAAAACCGACTCATCACCAAAGAACTTTTAAAGTTAATATTTGGACAGGAATTGTGGATAACAATCTACTTAGGCCCAGAATTTCGTTACATATAACAATTTAAATGGCGAAAATTATTTGCAGTTGTTGGCAAACGATTTACAAGAGTATTTGGAAGAAATGAATATTGCAATAAGGCAAAATATGTGGTTTCTACAAGATAGCGCTTCACCGCATTACAGTAATGAAGTCCGAAAATACCTTTGCAGGCAGTATCCTGATCGGTGGATTGGAAGGTGTCGTGACGCACCTATTTCTTGGCCACCCAGAAGTCCAGGTCTTAACCCCATGGACTTTTGCTTTTGGGGGTTTATGAAAAAGAAAGTGTATTCTGTAACAATAGAGGACGAACAACAATTGAGGGTTCGAAGAATTGAAACTGCCGAATGTGTATTGAAGAAAATGGGAGTCATTTTGAACATTTATTGTAATATCATATTTATAGAGGTTGCCTATAGACATTTTTTGTACTTGTTAATTCCTTTAAGCCATTTATTTAGTTGCACTTAATTTTTTAAAGGTTAATGAAAAGGGCCGTAACTCAATAAAAACTGATTGTTGAAAAAAGTAATAAGACGCAAAAACTTTTTAAAAATAATATGTTAAGCTAATGATGCCACAAAATTCATTTGATTTGAACGTGAACCTCAAAAGTTTGGAGAGATTTAGGGCTGCACACCCCCCTTAAAATTTTTTCTGTGCGCTTAGATTTTGTTGTTTCTTTTTTATGAAAAATGCTTTCAAAATAAGAAAGTAACGTGTCCATTTTTATTACAATATGTCATGTAGTTTAGGAGATAATGCAAAAAAAACAATTTTTATTTTGTAACAAAGGGCTGTATTTGTTTTTGTGTACACTTTTGTACTAAGGTAAGTTGGATTCTGATAAATAAAATAACTATACTGTCGAATTGTAAAAAGTTTATTAAACAATAATTATTAGCCTGAGAAACTGAGAATATTAATTAAACATGTGTGTAACCGTTTTTACATATTAGAGAAAATTGACATAAACTTAAAAACTTAATTCTTCTTTTTCTTATATCTTGAATATTACATTAGTGCGGGAGCTTATATTAACACTCCCACTTATTCAAGATTTGAATACAAAGACCTAATACTAAAGACATGAAAGCAAAGATCTAATACAAATTAACAAATACATAATTTAAATTGACAAATTTAACTTATTCAATAAATTGTTAAAAACTGTCTTTGACAATGCTTTTGTAAACAAGTCCGCTAACTGATTACTTGTATTGACATAGCTTACACAGATTCTTGTTTTCACATTCATCTCGAACAAAGTGAACCTTAATATCAATATGCTTTGATCTGCTATGAAATTGTTGTGCCTGTGTTAGCTTAATGGCAGATTGATTATCAACAGAGATGTTGACAGGTGAGACATCAATTCCAATCTCTTTTAAAAAATTTCTAAGCCATAAAGCTTCTCTAACACCAAAAGCCAAGGACACATATTCGGCCTCTGTAGTTGACTGTGCCACTATGTTTTGTTATTAGCTCTTCCAGGTAATAGGACCATTGCCTAGTATAAATACATATCCACTAGTAGATTTTCTTGTATCCAGGTAGCCAGCATAGTCTGCATCAGTGTAGCCTATTACCTTGATTTGTGTAGTTTTTCTGTACACAATTTTATAATGAGCAGTATATTTTAGATATCTAAAAATTCGTTTTACTGCTTTCCAATGTTCATCACTCCAAGCATTAAAGAATCTGCTCACCTGATTAACTGCAAATGTAATATCTGGGCGACTGGTGGTTGCCAGAAAGATTAGTGAACCAACAGCCTCACGATATGGCAAAGATTTATTACAATTTAAAATATTTCCTTTAGACAAAGGTACACTAGGCTCTGCAGGAATCTTTAATGGGTTAGCATTAGTCATATTAAATTTAACAAGAAGTTTTTCTATATAATTATGTTGATGAATAGCAATTGTACCTGCACTAAGATCTTGTTCAATCTCAAGTTCAACAAAATGTAATTTACTATTTAAATTTACAGTTATTTTAAATATTTGCTTTAAAGTTTCTAAAAGTTCATTAATGGCTCTTTCTGATTTTGACATGACAAGTCCATCATCAACATAAATTGCTAAATAAGTTTCAGAATTTGCAAAATTACCAACAAAAACACATTGATCACTTTTTAATTGTTTAAAGTCAAATTTATTAAGAAAGGATACAAACTTCTGGTTCCAGCATCGTGGTGATTACTTAAGTCCATATAAGCTTTTATTCAATTTACACACTAAGTTGTTATATCTTCTTACTTTCAAAACCAGTTGGCTGCTTTATGTACACACACTCTGGTAGGTCACCATATAGAAATGCAGTCTGTACATCAAAATTAGCAAGTCTAAGGTCCTTTTCCACTGCTAACGATAACAAAATCCGCACTGAGTCATACCGCACAACCGGCGCGAAAGTGTCTTCATAGTCTATTCCACGTTCTTGCATAAAACCGCGTGCAACCAGACGTGCTTTATAACGAACAGGATTACCGTCTGAGCCAGTCTTAACACGATAAACCCACTTATTGTTTATCACTTTTGCACCATTGGGCAATTTTTTCACCAAGTTCCATGTGTTATTAAACTTGAGGGCATCTATTTCCTCCTGCATTGCTTGTTGCCACTTGCTAGAGTCCTCACACTTTATTACACTTTCATAACTTATGGGTTCAACTATGTCACAGTAGTTTGCTACACCATAATAGTCAGGCTTAGACAGTGTATTTCTGTTCCGTAGCTGTCTATCATTAAAATTATCATCATTGGCATCATAAAACAGATTACAATCAAAAATGCTCATCATCATGATCTGTTGCTTGAGACCTACTACCTTGTGACATGTCTAAACTCTCTTCATTGTCTCTTTCTTGAATATCATACATATCATCATTGTCTCTTTCTTCATTATCACCTAAGAGTTCAAATTTTAATGTAAAAATTTCCTTCTTATTTTTAATTGTTTCATCTTCATTAAAATTTACATTGCAGCTCACTTCAATTCTTCTTTCCTCACAATCCCAAAGTCTATAATTTGATGAATATTCATCATATCTAACAAACAATAATTTTCTTGATTTTGAGTCAAACTTCTTACGAAACTGTGATGGTATCAACATGTAAGCTGTACTGCCAAAAACTCTGATGTGCTTTAGATCTGGTTTTCTCCCAAACCACTTTTCATATGGAGTCATGTTTTGTACTTGACTTAAAGCTGTTCGATTAAGAACATATACAGCAGTATTTACAGCTTCGGTCCACAATTCTTGTGACACATTTTTGTTGATAAGCATAGTTCTTGCACTTTCAACAATTGTCCGTAACTGCCTCTCACTGCGGCCATTTTGTTGAGGTGTATAAGGAGCTGAACATTCATGTAATATTCCATTCTTCCTGATAAAGTCCTGAAAGTCATTATTGATATATTCTCCTTTACCTTGGTCGCTTCTTAAAATCTTAATCTTATTGCCAGTTTGATTTTCAATCAGTATTTTAAAATATTTAAACTTGTTAAGAACACCTGACTTGTGCTTTAGAAAATAAACACTGCAGTAACTACTACAATCATCTTTAAATAAAACAAAATATTTTGATCCACTTGGAGAAGAAATTTTTACTGGTCCACATACATCTGTGTGAATCATTTCACCTGGTTTGTCTGATATGCTTCTTGTAAGACTTTTATGGGTCTTTCTTGACTGCTTCCCATACTGGCATGTCTCACAGAAAAATTCTTCTTTGTTGTCAACTCTCATATTATCAACCAAATTAGCTGTTTTCTTAATTGTAGTGAAGTTGATATGCCCTAGGCGATCATGCCATAACTTTATTGATGATTTGGAAGCTAAATTACATTCTACAATAGGCTTAACTCTAAATTTCATGACCCACAGATTATTTCTACGTACTCCAACACATGAAATGTTTCCATTTAGCTCTAGAAATTGGCACCTGTTTTTATGAGAATGATAGGTAAAGTTTTTATCTGTCATAGCTCCCACTGAAAATAAGCTGTGACTAAGTTCAGGAATGTATAGGACATTATTTATAGTACGATCATACCACTCACCTTGGACAAATGCCTGTATTTCAATAACACCTTTACCTTCTGCAGGAATCAGCTTGTTGTTTGCTATTCTAACAGACATAGGTTCAGATAGAGATTCTAATTTTGAAAACAACAATTTTTCACCTAACAAACATAGGTTCAGATAGAGATTCTAATTTTGAAAACAACAATTTTTCACCAGTCATGTGTAGACTTGCTCCTGAATCACATATCCACTCACTTTTACTTACACTGGAGGTTGATAAGTACATGGAAGAAATATCACATATATAAGCTGAACTTGATGCTATAGTACTTGCTGATGACTGGTTTTTTATCTTCATTTTTGGAATCATGTATTCTCTTTCTACACTCTCTAACCCAATGTCCCTTGCGTTTACAATAATTACAGGTGGAATTCTTCTTTAAGTCCTGTATATTTGTTTTCTTTTTACTGGTGGCTTTCAGTTTACTTTGTAAAGCCTATACTTGTAAAGCAAGACGAGATATTTCAGAGTCATCATTATTCATTCTAGTTTCTTCTTTAAGCAATCTTGCTGCTAAATTTTCAAAAGTTTGCTGATCACTAGCTACAGAGTCCCAGGCTGTACGAAAGGCATTAAATCTAGGAGGCAAACTATTAATTACTTTGTCATCCCATTCTTTCCAGTCACTGCTAGTGTGGTCTTCTGGTTCTCTAACTGTCCCATTCACAATTGGAAGCAGCTTCTCTGCTTTAAACAAAATGGTCACACTAAATTTCCATATTTGAAAATTGGACCCATAAAATTTAGTAATATTCCCAGAATCAATTTTCACAGCTGAGGCCATTTTTGCACTTCACTAAATGTTTATTTTATAATTGTACGACTCGAACGTAACGAAAAATAAACACGGGAAACTCACGACTTAAACGTGAAACAACTTTTACCACATGAACGTATAAATTTTACCACGCACCGGTGTGAACGACAGGCTAGTTTTTAAATTTCGTAATACCGTGTCTGGGCCCATAACCTGATAAATAAAATAACTATACTGTCGAATTGTAAAAAGTTTATTAAACAATAATTATTAGCCTGAGAAACTGAGAATATTAATTAAACATGTGTGTAACCGTTTTTACATATTAGAGAACATTGACATAACCTTAAAAACTTAATTCTTTTTTTTTCTTATATCTTGAATATTACATTAGTGCGGGAGCTTATATTAACAGATTCAATTAATTTATTTTTGTCCCCGGAATGTGCGATTTAATTTATGACATACCTTTTTGAAACACCCTGTATATCGCTACTCCTCCACTGGCTATTTTAGCATCTCGTCAATTTTTAAAGAAACAATTTAGGTTTTCCAGTTTATTTGCAGTGTTGTTTTTAAAATTAGTTTTTTGTAAATATAGAATGATTGGTTTCTATTTTGAGATTAGAATTTGCAACATTTCTAATAAATGGGTGTTATACGCATTTATATTCCTTTGAACTAAACTAGTAAATTTTATTATTATAACCTTTTATTTCTTATTCGGGTACATTTACTTTTAATTTTTGGTCATTTAGTTTAGGGTATATTTTTGTGAGTAGATCTGTGAGAAATTACATTGGTACATCCTTGCAATGCTTAGTGGGTCTGAAGATCATGTACAGTTTTCGAAGAAATGTATTAGTTGTTTATAGTTTATGGGATAACTGGAATTTTGGTCTCCAAATAATTAGTCTGTTGGCTCCAGCATTTCCTCTAGCGTATTTTTCGATTTCTTGTCTTTTTTTCATTTAATCATTTCTTTGTTTATTAGTAGTTCAAAAATATGTTCTGAAGAAGGAGTTGGGAACGGTATAGAACGCTCGAAAACTGTGCGTTTTTGTGAGTGGTTGTTTCGATTTGGTTAGTTAGGAGTTTTGTGCTTAGTGTTTTATGTTGCATAGCTTGTTCGTTCAGTTTAATGTCACTAGTTTCTTCTTTAGTGACCTGATTCTCAATGGAGTTCTCGCCTGCTTCTCTATTCTGAGGTATCTAAATTGTGTCGCTTGGTATTTTTGCATATTTGGCAAGTCTGCATTATCTAACACTATAACAGATATACTATTAACACCTTGGAGAATGTTCTCGAAGCATGTAAAGTTCATGTCTCACGATAGTCCTTGTTTTTTTCGATATAAAAACAATGCGCCACTTTGCAGAAAACCATTGTTTATTTCTTGTTGTTTTATATTGTCAAACTTAAAAAAGAAATTTAAACTTTAAAGAATTTATCCACTTACTTATTACTAATAACTTTCACATTTAATATAGTTTGCATATACCGACCTCCGGATACAGTACTTACTCAGGACAATATGCTTAATAACAAACTTGAGGAATTATTATCCCTTGAAAATCTCATTGTTGTAGTTGTTGGAGATTTCAATTTTCCCGAGACCCATTATTTCTAAAAATGATAGTATCAATTTCAAAATTTGTTTACAAACTTTATCATGAACTCAAATTTATTACAACTGATAACTGAACCTACAAGGTTTAGAGCCAACAATAACCAATTTTAGACTTATTTTTCACAAATGACGATCAATTAATTTCTACACTTGAAGTGTCCTCTCCTGTGGGTCTTTCTGACCACTCGCTTATTACTGCTCACATTCATATTTAGTTTAACACCACCTTGCAAAAATAATTTCGTAACGTATACCACTATTGATTTCTTTAATGTAAATTCAGTTTTATCCCAGTTAAACTGGCAATCTATTTATCTTAATAACTCTGATCTATCGTCAATGTGGGACTCTTTTCTTCATACTGCTATTACAACAATTTCTGATCATACAACCGAACGGCAGCTATACAGAAATCGACTAAAACCTGATCGTAAAGTAATAGTAAAAAAGTTTATCGGTACATTCGTACATCTTCATCTTCTATAACATTCCATAAGTCTCCATACCATTACTTCAAAAAGCTAACGGTTCTTTATGTTCTTATTATTATTAGTATTATTATTATTATTATATAACAAATAAGGGCAGAGAAGCGAGCTCCTATTATGCCCAAAAAGCAAAAATAAACAAAAATAAAATAGATCCTTATAAAACTAATATTATATACTAAAGCAGTTTTTACTTAAAGACGATATTTTAGCAACATCGCATTTAAAGCTACGAAAGGATATTTCCCTTATCAACTTTGCAGTGGCGTACCAAAATAAAGTTTTAATTATTTATTTAAATACATACGTAATTACCTAAAAATTAAATCTAAGACTGATATAATTATTAAATTATTATATGTGTCTTGACGAATAAAGTAAAAGCCATATAAGAAGAAAGGTTAATAATTAAGCAATGATCAATGGGCATCAAACAATTTTTAAAATTTAATTTCAATCATTTAAAAAGTAAATTATATAATTTCATATGTTTTATTATTGTTCTGAAGCTATTTTCTTGTGGTATTTTTAAGTAATTACTATTTAAATGAGAATAAGCCACAATTTAAGGTTAAAGTAAGTTTATTGACGTCTCAATTTCCACTTCAGGAATCATTCTCAAAATACAAACAGTAGTAAATTAAACAAATTTTATTTCTTTCTTAATAAAGAAACAAAATTTGTTTAATTTACTACTGTTTGTATTTTGAGAAGGATTTCCGAAGTGGATATTAAAACGTCAATAAACGTAGTTTAACCTTTAATTGTGGTTTATTCCCATTTAAATAGTAATTACGTATATTTTATGTTCCGTAAAAAAATTTAATTTTGTTCCGCTAAAAGCAAATGAAATGAATATAATATTTATGTATAATTTATTACACACAATAAAATTTATTTTATTAATGACATTTTTAATATAGAAATCATTCAGTTTACTTTGTTATACTATAACTCTCCATATAATATAATTTCTCTCCTACCGCTTCCTTTGATTTTATATTGACTGACGTCTCATCATAGTTCCACTAAGCGTTCTAAGCTCATACTAGGTGATCTATTATTATCCAAAAGCCCAAAATAAAAGGAAAAGAGTAACTACTAGGGAATATATCAAAGATACTTGATGTTTATGAAACTATGTTTTCATAAACATAGACACTTTGTCTGTCAAACTAACCTAAAATAAATATAAAAAATAGAAGAGACATGGAAACCGTAGTAATAAGGTTAGACAAAAAGAAAAAGAAATTAATAATGTCAATAATTTTACAACACAATCCTCACAAGGGTATGCCTGTTGAAGATATAACAACTTCATTGTTCTAATGATGTTTGTTATGTTAATTTTTAGTATGTTTTGAAAAAGAGTTAAATAAACTCGAATATACCTACTACGGAATATAATATATCGTATTCATACAGTGAATTTATTATTTATTTTTATTCTAATAATTTTTGTTTAATTTTGTGACGGATAATGTAGGTTTACCAACTAACAGTGGCGGCTCGTGACATCTGCTATAGGGTGTGCTGCATGAACCACGGTCAATATAAAATAATAGAAATAGAATAACATACGAAAACAAAAACAATAAAATTAGCTTTAATACTAATTAATAGTAACTAATAACGACATGCTATAAAAATCTAATTAACTTACATTTATTGCATTTTTCTAAATTGGAAATTAATACGCCGGTCCTTTTTTGTCGCAAACTTTTCGATTACTTTATCGTTAAAGTTCGGTATTGAAGCGATGAACTTTTTTTCTATCGAGAGTGTGGAAAGGGCTGTTAATCTGTCTTCGCACATTGAATTTCTTAAAAATGTTTTGATCCGTTTTAAAGTTGAAAAACTACGTTCAGCTTCTGCTGTGGTCATTGGCGTAGTCACCAGAATTTGTATCAACTTTTTGGTTTCTGTTAATGTGTCCTCTAAATTATTAGAAATTATAAATTTTAGTAAAGGCACTGCACCTTTTAATGTTCTACACTCGATATTGGAATACAAAACTGACAGTTCTGTTCGCAAACGGTTTTTATCAAAGAAGTTATAAGCTGTACAAGTTAAATCCAATTCATTTTCAGGAAACTTATTATTATATTTTTCGAAATGTTCTGAAGATAAAAGTGTTGCGGCAACTAGATGATTTGTATATGCAAACCGTTCTTTTGCATTGTTTATAATAACATCACAAACTTCTAGACAGGCAATACGGTGATCCTGTTGGCTGTTATTTGGGCGTTTCCTTTTTTGGACACTAGGCGCCGCATTTAAATTTGAAGCTTGATGTATGATAGGGTCTATTTTATTTCGGACATTGTTAATACTTTGCTCAAAAACATGTATAGCTTTCTGTGCTTCGGTTGGGTCCATGTTCTTTTTTTGAAGATTATTGTACAAAACGTCAACATGTGGCATAATATAATGAAAAACAGTCAGCCAGAAAGTAAAATTTTGATCTTCCAGAATACGTCTAAGTCCTCTTGCTTCCTTGGAAGTAATAGCATTTGACTCTTCTTCTAGTTGCTCCATACACTCAATAATAAAGTCTCTATATTCGTAAACGACATTTACTGTACGAATATTAAAATTCCAGCGTGTAGGGATTGAACGAGGAATATTTTTTCCAACTATTTGATTTAAGACAGCTATTCTTTGAGGTGAATGACTAAAAAATCCAGGTATATCATGTAAATCTCCAAAAAATACGCGTACTTGGGAATTAATAGAACATGCTCTTGACATTATTAGATTCAATTGATGGGCGTAACAGTGCACAAAATGAGCAGTTTCATATTTTCTCTTAATTATTGTTTGCACTCCGCCATGTATCCCACTCATAACAGCTGCTCCGTCATAACTTTGTGCAATGAGCTTATTTTTGTTATTCTTTAATATTGGGTCTAAAACATTCAAAATTGTGTTAGCTAAGGTTTCAGCATCATGTTTTTCTGGAAGCAAAAAA